GCTCACCAAAATGAAGTAATACACTCGCTCCCTCTCGCTCCTGAGACGAGGCTTTTGGTCTGGTTGGAATGTTCTCTTCACTGTGGGACCACTGCCCACAGGAGCCCTTGTATGGGGCCTTCCCAGGTCCTGAGATGCTCCCACTCCTGGAGGACAGGGTGAGGGCTGTGCCCTCCTAGTTCAACACAACCCCCCAAAGATTCCCCCGACTGGGCCAGGCAGGTGAGAAAAGGCTCAAAGCTGAGCAAATAAATAAATGATCATTTTTTAAGTCTTTGTCAGAATATACTAATGGACCGACTTATCATAAATTATAACTCTAAGCAGTTTTAAACTGTCGAGCACCCTAATAATGCTGAAATATTGATGACATTTTTGTAATAAATTTGGAAGACTGGAGGCAATTGCAAGAAGGCACTAGCAAGGGCCAGGAAACAGGGAGGACTCCTCCCACAGAACCCACGCCTGCAGGGAGCACTTCCAGGCCAGCACCCGCACTGGTGGCTGAGGACAAAAGGCTATAGAGTGGGAGGCAGCCCTGAGCCCCTCATCCATCTGATCCAAAACCCTTTGGGACCTTTTATTTCCACAATTTAAAAATCAATTTCCTTTCTGAAAAAGACACTCTGTGCCAACCACACAAAGATTTGGGTCAAAAACAAAGCCAATTCGCAGAAATGACTTCATGGGCTCAGAACCGGGGAGGTGGATTTCTTTAATCCACAGCACACTAAAAACTGATAAAGATTTCAAATGGAGGAAAGGAAGGAGTGGGTACAGATATACTGGGGCTCTTTTTATAGAACGGGAGTGTGAGAATGTTAATTAAAGGAATCTCAGAATCAGGGAGGATCTGAGAATGGAAGGGGCGAGAATTTAATTTTAGGTGTTGTTTCATTAGGTTAAAAAAAGAAGACAGTTTCATGAGCTACCTGCAGCCATGCTCTGGAACTTCATGGACCCCCCAAAAAGCTCCAACTGAAACCGTAAAGTGTAAGAGACAGATTTAATGAAAACCCCCTTGGCCCAGTAAAGAACCCCTTTATTTGAAACATAAATTCGCAAATCTTGGAGCATTAAATGAGCATAATAGAATGTTAGATGTCATTCTAATGTTAGTCTTCAAAGAGTTGTCCTCATGCATTTCTTTAAAACAAAGGCACCCACAGAATTTACTGGTTGTTAGTTCTGCCAAAGGTTCCAAAACCTAGGCCTGGTGTGTTCCTCAGCATCCAAGTGAGTTTTCATTACCTCACCCTTCTTCACATCCAGTGAATAATAATACAACTAATAACAGTAACAATAATAATAACTAGTGATTCTGCCCTTACTGGGAACCCCACTCTTCTCATCAAGTTTATACACAAGTTCTCTGGTCCTCTCAATGCCCTGCTGGAGAGTCAGTCCCATTTCTATCTTGCAAGCGCAGAAATTGAGTTCCAGAATGGATGTTCAGCTGAGGAATGGGAGAGCTGGGTCCTAAACCCAGGTCTGTCTGCTTCCAAGGTCAAGTAATTTGCACTATGCCACCTTAGAACAATCAGTAGAAGCACAAAGCAGGGGTAAAATGTTTCCAGGGGAACCCAACCAGACCAGACACAGACAGGCACACTCCCTCTCTCCATTCTTGGGCTCTGCTCCTGGGCTGTACTGCATTCCCATACCTTGATGGCCAGCATGAATGATTTTGACTGGTTCATGCCCACAGCATTCACAGTCCTTGAATTGTGGGTAGCAGAAACAAAAGCAGACAACAAAAGCAAAGGGATTTTCTGAAAGGCTATCTAGGAGTCACAGACGCAGTAAGAAGGCTGCAACCCCAGGCAGACAGTGAACAGCTCTAGATACCAGTGAGTCGAAATCAACCATCTTTTGACAGAATAGATTGGTCCTGGGTCTCATTGTCTTCTTGTTCAGATAATTCTGGCTTGGGTAAAATAACATCCCCTGGGGAAGAGAGAATTTCCTAAAAAGGAATAGTGTACTGGTAGTTGGGCCACTGCATTGCACAACTCCAGGGGGCACCACTCACATAAATTATAATGTGAATGGTACGCCCTCAGGTTGTACAGTATGCCAGCACTACAGTCCAATCCTAGGCAGCCCCCTCTGAGCTCTCTGCACTTGTGAGATACACCACCCACATATACCACTCACTCCTCACACAGTTAACATTCAGTGTAGCTAGTCATTGTATCTTTCTCAGTTGCACCGGAAGATTCTCAAGGATAAGATCCAGAAGTTCAATTCTCTATTTCCAAAATCATCTTGTACGGAAAAGTAGTTTCCAATTAAAGTTTTGCTTATATCCACAACCAAATATCAGTTTCCTTTCAAAAATAAATGGATCACTTCATTTAGTGCAATGAAATAGGAAGGCCGTCCATCTGGCAACCACCATGTTTGTGCGTTCTCCTTGTGAGGTACAAGAAATTGACCAAGGGAAGGAAGGATGGATGTGTTGGGGGCACGAGCATTTAACAGAAGCCAAAGTCTATGCAATGAATGGGTCTCCTGGTAGAAGTTGAGGTTCAGATTGCCTGGAGAGGCCTTTTTCAAAAAGGATTACCCTCATGCCCCTGATATTATTCTGTGTGGGCAGCTGTTCACACACCAACCATGCTGCCCTTGACCCAAAACCTCATTTCATGGAGATTTTGTTCTGTCTCCAAATATTTACTGAGCAGTGGTTAGGCACCAGGGGATATGTGAGACAGAAGTCACTGTGCCATTAAAAGAGCTGAATACCTAATGCCATCAATAAGGGTCACCTGGGTGGCTCAGTCAGTTAAGCGTCTGACTTTGACTTCTATCATGATCTCATGGTTCATGAGTTCAAACCCTGCATGGGGCTCTCTGCTGTCAGCACTGAGCCAGTTTCAGATCCTCTGTCCCCCTTTCTCTCTCCCGTCCCCCACACATTCTCTCTCTTTCTCAAAATAAATAAGTAAACTTTTAAAGAATATATTTAAAAAACACATAATGCCATCAATAAACTAATAAGCATTTTTTTTCTCCTCCATTCTCCTCTACCATCCCTCCACCCTCACCACCATATTGGCTGCTCTGCTGGCTCATTCCCTAATCCGGTCTTTCGTGTAAACAGCCCAGGTCCAGAGCCTTCCAGTAGGGAGAGGATTACAATAGCAGGAGCAAGAATGAAGTTGCTTGACAAACCCCTGTCCTGGCTCTGTATCTGCTCATTCAACAACCTCTACAACAACCCTATATTGCACCCTGCTGTGTGTTAGATTCTGCAATGCACTGGGAGCTATGCAAACAAGAAGGCACGGGCTACTGCAGGAAACAGCCTGTAAACAAATGATTACAATTCTGGGTGGCCAATGATTCAAATGTTTCACATAATATTCTTGTCTCCTGTTGTATCTAGCACCTGGCACAGTGCCTGGCCTGTATTGGGCGGATGCCCTGTAGAGTGGATTGGTGAGTGAGTATATTAATGGCAAATACTTTCTGACTGCTCCCCATGCACCAGATGCTATTAAAAGAGTTTTACTTGGGGGCGCCTGGGTGGCGCAGTCGGTTAAGCGTCCGACTTCAGCCAGGTCACGATCTCGCGGTCCATGAGTTCGAGCCCCGCGTCAGGCTCTGGGCGGATGGCTCAGAGCCTGGAGCCTGTTTCCGATTCTGTGTCTCCCTCTCTCTCTCTGCCCCTCCCCCGTTCATGCTCTGTCTCTCTCTGTCCCAAAAATAAATAAACGTTGAAAAAAAAAAAAAAGAGTTTTACTTGTATTAACTCATTTGATTCTCACAACAACTCTGAGGTGAATATTATTATAACCTGCCCATGTTTCCTGATGAGGACACTGAGGCCCAGAAAGATTAGGCGACTTGGCCAATTAGTAATAAGAAAAGACAAAATTCAAACCCAGAACAGACAATCTGACCCCAGAGCCTGTGCTCTTAGGCACCGCTTATAATGTGTTAAGTGCATGGGGCTGGGGAGTCACAGAGGAGGCAGTCACAGCCCATCACCACCATAATGTCTCAGCTGATTCACCTCCACTACCATTTGCCAACTACCGTTTCCATCATTCCACCTCAACCCCTGACTCCCACGTCAATGCTGTGTGTTGTCATCATCAGAAAATGCACCACTTCTGAAATCTCATTGTGAAGCCTTCTGCCATCTGCCTTCACCATGTCCTTCCAGCTCACCCATTCTAGGACCTTGACAGCCATGATGGAAACTCCATTCAACCAACTCTACCACTGTTTCTACTATCAACCCCCACCCCCACCTCCATTTTCTTCCTTACCTTCCTTAGATTCCATGGTCTGTTATTATAAGCTTTCCCCAATCTATTCCCAACAGTGTTGACTTTCTCTCCTTACCATTCTTGCTCGGTAAAACTACCCAACCATCTACCCTCTCCATTATTGCATCAGAGCTACTGAATGTTGTCTCATTTCCTTCCCCCAGGGCTTAGCTCAAATATCATCTCCTTAGAGATAACCAGCCATCCAACCAAACTTGGCGTCTCCTAGTTTGTTATTTTAGCAAATTACTTATTGAGTGCTTTCTAGACACCGGTATTAGAGCTTTACATTGATTAATCCTTTGATTCCTCAGAGCTCAGGGAAGTGGACACTGTTATTATCATTATTATACCCATTCTGAAAACAAGGAAACTGAGCCCAAAGAGATAATGACTGTCCAAGATGAAACAGTTATCACAGGTGGTCTCAGGATTTAACCCCAGGCAGCCCAGCTCCAGCCTGGCCTCCTAACCATCTCACCATCTGCCTCTCTTACACCACCTACATGTCTCCTTCTAGCACTTTCAACAATCCAGACACTGCCTTGTTTAGTTATTTACATGTTGTCGATGTTCTCCCTAGAATATGAGCAACTGTGTGAACAGAGACCTTCTTTCCCAATCTTAGATCCCTATTGAATAGCGAGCACAGATAATAGGAGCAAATCATTTTTGTTTAATATGACTGAGTAACATTTGTCTGTTTTGTATATGTTTCAGAACAGATTTATTATGCTGGCCCCATCAATAATCCTGGATTTGAAATTCTCGAGGTAAGGTTTTGGTTTTCTGCTCTGTTCTGTTACTTAATTATTGTATCGAGCAGTTTCTACAGTTTAAACTTCAACAGTTTAAACATTTTCCACTGACCCCTACCAAGAAAACCGTTCTTCAGTAAAGCTGATACCTCATGATGGGTACTCACAAACGCTTAACACACTGGTTTTACCTTTTTCGTTATAACATTTTATGTCTGTTGGACTCTCTGGGATCCCCTGGGCAGACAGCTCCCACGGAGAGGGAGGCCCTCATCCTGTCCTGCAGGATGGTTGGTATCTGAGGGTACTGCATGGGCTAGAGCTGCTGGGGGGTGAGCTGTCTGTGAGGCTGGCTGTTCAGAGAGAGGAAGACACACACACACACACAAGCGTGAAGGGTAAAGGCCCCCAGGTACCAGCCTTACACTATTATTAGTGGGCTGTCACCAGGTGAATAAAATGCCCCCGCCCTGAGCATTCACCGGCAGGGCTCACAGCTAAGGGTCCAGTTTTCCACAAATTCCTTTCCGCAAAATAATGTGACCTTCTTAAATGGCTGAACTCAAGCAGCTCTGACATGAGCAATACATTTTCAATATGCTACTCCTGAGAGAATCTTACGGGACATCATAAAAGGAATCACAAGGTTGTAATAACTTTCTTTTTTTGTTTGTTTGTTTGTTTGTTTGTTTCAACTTTAACCTCTCTGCTTTCCAGATCCCAAAATCCATCTATGGCTCTGGGAAAGGGTTTCCTTCTGCGTAAAGAATCTGTTTAACTTTTCATTTATCTTGTGTGTGTTTCCTTTCTGTCCCAGGCTCTGGGTTCCTAAGGTGCAAGCCGTACTGTCTCTAGAACATTCTCTAGCTGTTGCTCCCACAGATGGGAAGTTTGCGGCTTCACCTTCCCCTCTGGGGTTCTCCAGAGTCTTCTCTGCTGGCCTTTCATTGAAATATTAGAGTCTTGCAAACTCTCTTCACTTCTAGGATGTGGAACCAAAATTCTCCCAGTTAGTTTTTTCTTTAAGTCTTTGCTACTTGAATTCTTTTTTCTTCCCCGATTTCCTCCTGAACCCCTCCCTTCCCCCTTCCCCTGGCAATTGGCTTAAAATTTGCAAATAATAGATTTTCATCTGGCATTACTGGCTTTTTAATTTTATATTATTTCAATTTGTTTATTTATTTTGAGAGAAAGAGCATGAGCAGGGGAGGGGCAGAGAGAGAGGGAGAGACAGAATCCCAAGCAGGCTCTGCATTGTCAGCACAAAACCCGATGCAGGGCTTGAACTCACGAAACGTGAGCCGAAATCAAGACTGGGACCCGTAATCGACTGAGCCATCCAGGTGCCCTGCATTATTGACTTTAAAAAAAAAAAAAAAAA